TCTCAACTGATGGAATAAATGAATGGATGGCTGGGGTAGGAGATGGGACATCTTCCCCTGACCCCAGCGTGCTTTTCCTTAAATCTCCCCAAGACCTTAGAAAGGTAACAGATTATTGAATGTTTGGTTCCTTGGTCTGACGCAGGCATGGAAGTGCATGGATGACCTGGGAAACCTATATATGCTCCACAGTCACATGCCTGGGTCCAAATCCCAGCTCTGTGTCTAGTTAACTGTGTGACTTTAGACATATATCCTCGGTGCCTCAGTGTGTGGTTAGCAACACTGGCTCTATAAAGTGGTATAACAGTAATCCCTCCCTCATGAGGTTGTAAGGTTTAAATGGAAACCTATGGGTAAGACGATTAATTCTAGATATGATTTTCCTACGAATTTTGGGTTAAGAAGCCTTTAAATTCTTAGTAGACACAACTCTTCCTTCTACTCAGCCCATTCCCATCTGTCTCTGTCTCGATAGTACTTCTATCTAAAATTGCCTTTTTTAATCTACTGGTTTCTTGTTCCCTACTCCACTGGCCATGCTCACTCCACCAGGAAAATGACTGGACAGGGTTATTTCGCAGCTGACCAGCATCTTAGAGATTTAATAAATACTGAACAAAAGATTGGATGAATGGCAACCAGCAGAGACAGGGTTTGCACTGGGCCTGGCTGTCATTCCCAGCTGTGTCTTATTCCTGCCTGGTTGGAAGAGGCACATTTACCGGACTGACAGCAGGGCTAACCCACCAACAGTAGCAGCGAGGGGTTGAGACTGTGGTTGGCCAGCCCTTTTAGATTTATAATTATCACTGAGGGGAAAGAGAACAGCAGGAGGTGAGTCCCCAGGGAAGGGATTTGAGAAAGGATGGGACACAGACTTGTAATAAAGAGAAGAGGAGGTGTTGGAAGGGATAACAAAAGATGATGCGGTGGCAGGGTTGCCATGGAAACACTGCTTGGGGCATGGACCAGAAGATAAGCTGCTTCAAAGTAAATTTCAACTTTGCAGCTTGAAATATGCTCTCCCCCTGGGACCTGACCCTGTGGGTTGGCAGATAAGCAGCCAAGAAGCAGAGATCTGGTCCCAGCAGCTCCCTAGGCTCTGGAGATCTACCAGACAAATGTTTGTGGGGAGCTGAAAGGACTTGATTAAGAAATGGGGAGGGTGTGCCTGTGAGCAGCTCACCATGCCAGAGGACATTTCTACATCTACCCAACCTTTCTCAATCCGGGCATTCTTATCTGAGCCTCTGGGAGCGCCCACATCATGGCCATGCTAGGAGCTTCTTAGACATGGAAATTCCTCAGGCTCCACCTAAAACCTCGGAGTCAAATCCCTTGGGGGGTTGCTCTGGGAATCTGAATTTTACATTTTCTCAGGTGAAACTTATGACACCAAATGTGGGCACCAGCGTTTACAAGCCTATTCCTCTGAAGGTGCTGGGGGGGTACTTTGCTTCAGCCACACCAGGCTCCTAACTGTTCCTCAGAGATTGCAGGCATGGTGCTACCCAAGGCCTTTACATCAGCCTTCTGTCTGGAAGTCTCACTTCCTCCACGAGGCTGCTCTGATCACTTAACATGTCCCACAACCCCCTCTCCGCGTCTCTGCACCCCTGGGTGCCCTATGGCACGATCACGTGCTAACACACTCTGACCGCAGTGTGCGCTGAACTCCACCTCCTCCAGGGGGGAGGCAGAATAAGAGGTGGTAGGCCAGGCAGTGACCCAGGCATCAGTTTAAGTGGCACAAAAGCATGGGTGAGTGGTAAAGTGTGACTAGAAATGTGAGGAGGTAGGTAAAGGGGCTGGAGGCACAGCAAAGTGGCTCAACATAGGGTTCTGGAGTGAGGCAGCCTGGGTTTGAATCAAACCTTTACTGTTCAAAAGCTAGCAATGTGTCCTCATCTGTAAAATGGGATTGATCATGGTAGCACTTCCTGATAGGGTTATTATGAGGACCCATTGAATTCACATCTGAACAGTGCAGAACACAGATGGACAGAAACACAAGGTAGAAGAGGTTGGCATTCTGAGTTGAAGAAAAACCAGCAGACTCTTTTCAGACTGTGAGAAATCAGCTCTTATTTTGTTCAGGAACTGAGGTTTAGGGATTGTTTGTTACACAGCATTGGCCTTTCCTGACTGATACAAGGCTGTTAACAAGTGGGCTGCTGACTGTGAGGATTCAAGCAGTTGTGGGTGTGTGCGAGGATGCTCTAGGAAAAGGCAGAGAGAGTCAAGTCTTTATGTTAGTTAAGAGCATCCATGTCTATGGCTGCCCCCCCTCCCCGTTTTCTCTAGAAGAGTTATCTATATGATTGGAAGGAAAACTTGGAGAGAGGGTTGTTCCCATGCAGACTCAGCATCTAGGAGTTGATCTTTCCATGGAGGCAAAATTACTTTTCTTCCATTCACTTCTAGCTTCACTTACCACATATTGGCCAACACAGGGAGAGAGAGTCCTGCTTGTCCATTAGGGGAGAGTGGGGGCAGGGGTGAGCAGAGGGACTGTGGTGCCAGCTAGTGTCCTGTGAATATCCTAAGTCACAAAATAAGCAGAGGAAACTTTTCATGCTAAAACAATCTTATGGAGTCAAATTCAAAACGTCACATGAATTTTAAGACAGAATCAAGAAAAATTCCCCACTGCTCCTGAAGACTTCTCGTTCCCTGGAGTAAACATCCCCATTTTACAGATGAAGTAACTGGGGACACAGATTAATTAATCAGACCCAAGATTTAAGTAGCAAGTAATTGGACTCCAGCCAAGCTTGCACACTGACCACCAGCTTCTATTTCAAACTCCTATACACATGTTAGTGTGTGTACCAACGAGTATTAGAGCCCAGAGTGATGGGGGTGGCGGGGGCCTCTTTCCCGGCCCAGCTCCCCATGAGGGCTTCACCGTGCTTAGCTGCAGACCCCCGCTGCAATGGCCCATGTTTGGCACCATTCAAACAGGCTGTGTCCATCTCTTCCTTCTCCTTTTTAAAGTTCGAGTATAAGGGGCAAAGCCATCAATCCCCTTTTCGAGCCGAGTCTGTTTACTCTTCCTGGGACTTCCTGGGATGCCTTACAACGGAGCCCCGACATGAAAACCCAAATCAGTAAACGGTCCTTAGGGGAGAAAAGTACTCATGTCACAAAAGGGGTCTCCTCACATCTCTGTGAAGTTAAATGTTTGTTTCCAGTTCACTAATTACATAATTAATTTCTCCTTTCCCAACACAAGCCTCAGAGGGAAAG